TGTGCTCAGGTGATCCTTCTGCCTCAGTCTTGCAAGTAGCTGGAATGATAGGCATGTGCCACCATGCCCAGCTAATATTTTGATTTATTATAGAGGTGAGGTCTCGCCAAGTTGGCCAGGCTGGTCTTGAACCAACCGGCTCAGGCAATCCTCTTATCTCGGCCTCCCAAAGTGCTGGGATTATAGGTGTGAGCCACTGCGTTTGGCTCTTTTTAATATATAATCAACAGCCTTCCAATTTCAGGATAAACTCTGTTGTATTAGAATAGCAGACATGAGAAAATTAGACTTTAGAAATTTTATTATTACTATAAAGTTTGAACCACCATAGCCTTCTTGCTGGTGTCTACAGCTAGAAGTACACAAAGAAGACAAAGCTACCAAGGAGTCAAAAGACCCATGAAGGAATTAAGACTAGACTAGGCCTTCCCTCATAGATATAATTACCTCTCAGCTCATCTTTCGCAGGGCCAGAGGCTCAGTTCCTCAACTCCAACTGCACAATACTCATTTATAGAGTATTTAAGTTAGACTCAGGGAAGAACTTCCTGCAGCAATAGTCCTAAAGCTTGAAATGAATGACTGAGGGAGCCTATAAAATCTTTTTCCTTTTGAGTCTTTTAAAGAATATAGTTCTTTAAAAGAGATATAAAAGACTTTCTAGATAAAGTCTTGCCCTGAGGCAGAGGGATGGACCAGCTGACCACTCCCTCCCAAGCCTGGGATTTCACCAACCCTGGGATCCCAAGGAAGCCCGAGGAGTGTTGTCCTTTTAAGGGGTTTCCGCTTTCATCTGAAGATGATTGGCGATGGAATTAGGTGTTACCAGGTCAGGCCGTGGGTGGGGGAGGCTTTTTCACCCGCTGAATCAGGGGTGGCCAGGAGGAGACCGGCTTTGAGATGTCTCATGAGAGAAGCTTGGGAGGAGGCTTGGGGTTGACTGGCAGGCGGGTGTGGGAGGGGGGGCCTCCATGGGGCTGGCTGGCAGGGCATGCCTGGTCTAAGAAAGTCTAGCAGGAATTGGTGGAAGTCATCCCTGCTCTTCAAGGACCCTTCTCTGGAAGCCACACTTGCCAGCTCTTTCTACCTTCTAAACCTTGCAGGGGATGAGGTAGGGGAGGGCAGCCAGTCAACTCTCACCACCTGGCATAGGGAGAAACAGCAGGAAGTCCTTAAGCTAGACCAGAAAGAGAACAGGATAAAATGGAGGAGGAGTGACTAAGAGGCTTCATGGGGGCTCCCTTTCTTTGAAGGCCTTTAAAAATTAAGAGGCCCCTAAGCCAGTGGTGAATATGAAGTTCTCTGGGGACTCTGCCAGTTTTGCATGTGACACATAGACTCTGAAGGTCATCAGGAAATGCCCTTTTATGGAATGTGTGCAACAGGATTTGAGGCTGAGAAGGGCAGGACCTTGTAGTCAAGCCGTTTGGTGGCCATGAAGAGCAGAGCCAGAGTGAGGGGCCTGGAGGAGCTCTGGAAGTGACCACCTTCCATCGACGGTCCTTGAGCCCACCCAGGCCTCAGTACCAGAGGGGTGGGAATCCTGGCTTCTGGTTCAGCTCCAGGAGGTGGTAGGGTATGGGGGGAATGGCAGGATGAGGGCCTGGCCAGCCCCAGAAGGATGATTGTTTGTTCGCTCCCTCCAGGAGACTCTACCTTCCACCAGGCCTTTGGATGGAGCGGCTTCTCAAGGGAGGAAGGGCTTTGCACCCTGGCCTAGGAGAACTAAAAGACTAGCCAACCAGCACCGGCTGAGAATTCAGCTGAATAAACATTTGTTGAGTTGAATTAAACGTCCGTTTCTGTCTGTCTGGGGAGGACAGTTCTTGTGCATGGAAAGTGAGCTGTGCTCAGCCTGGTTGGAGAGGCAGATCTCTCTCAAGCACTCCCTGGGCTCTCCCTCCTCTGGGCAGCTCAAGCCCCTCACACATATTTCTCTTTTCCACCATTCATGCCAAATTCAAATGCTTTACTTCCTGGTCTCTGTTCCCACTGGACTGTGAACTCCCCAGGAGCAAGAGTGGGGACATGTACACGACAGTCTGATCAGTGCCTAACTTAGGACCTGGTCCCATGGTAGGATACTCCATAGATAACGTGTGGATGAATAAAGAATTAACAACATAAGGTGGCTAAGTATCTTCTGGGTAGGACAGACAGGAATGTTACAGGGTTGAGGGATGCAACAATCACTGTGGGCTTAGGTCACGGGGAAAGCCTCATCTTTCCCATTTGCCTTGAAGCACTTGAATTTGGCATTCTCCAGCATTTGTCTTTCTATCCTCCGGCTTAAATCGATTCAGCCTTGATAACCCCACTCATCCTCCAGCGGTGTGTTGGAGAGGGCTCACACTGGCTCAGGAGCTGACTGTGTGCTCTCTTCCCAGTGCTCCTCACTGTGGGTAGCCAGAGATCAGCCAGGGTAGGAGAAACTGGCAAACACTACAAACCAGTGCCTTTTCACCCTGGAAGAGCCAGGTGCTAAATTTTGTCAGCACACCCTTGCAATCCATGCATTGACTTACTGCATATCCATCTCCTTCTTCCCCTACTCTTTCCTCTCTCTTCCCTACCTATCACTTTCTCTTTCTTCCTCTCTTCTTTTTCCGAATTTTAAAATTCAACTTTCCAACTGTCTGATCATCCAGCCGTGCATCCTCCCTTCACCCACTCATCCATGATCCACACATCTCTTATTCATTTATTCATCCATTTTCCACTCATATTAATCTAGCCTTTATTTCTTCCATCCATCCATTCATCTGTTCATCCACCCACCCACAAATGTTTTCTGAGCATTTGTTCTGTGTCAGCCTATTCCTAAGGCTCAGAATCTCTCCCCAGATTTTGGGAAGATTGTTGCATGAACTCTAAGGACTAGTAGAAGCTCCCAGCATTGATGTTGAATCTGTAACCAGAACTCTTCTGTTCCTTCTTGCCCTCTCTGCTTGTTTCTCCTCATCGCCTGAAGAACAGGCGATGAGGAGAAACAAGCAGAGAGGGTAAGAAGGAGCAAAAGAGTTGGAGAAAGAGGGAATACTATTGGACAAAGAGGGAAGGTCATGGTCTCATCCTGCAGACCAGGACAGAACTTCCCTCTGTTTTCCTCCCTCCAGACCTCAGGCAGGAGCCCAGTGAAACTGGGCTTGGCTTTTTAAGAAGGGGTTCCCTGCCCCAGAAGACCCCATGAGCTCTTAGGCAACTCACCAGTGAGTTCAAACAAGAGGGGGCGTCTTTGGTGCCCGAGGACAGAGACTTCAGGTGAGAGAGGAATCTCCTTTGTGAAGCCAGCATTCCCCGCCCCCAACACCGCCTCACACACCTCTTAAAACTTGGCTGCTTTGTGAGCCAAGCTTGTCTCTGCCATTATTCCCAGGGGCTGTTTTTGCAAGGGATTAGCTGTTCAGCCTAGTGAGCCAAAGGGGCGGGGGCTCCCCAAGCTTGATCTGGATTTGCGGGGAAAGAAGGGAAACCCACTCCCCTTCACTCAGCCAAGAATCTGCCACATCAGCCTTTTCTGCTGTCTGCTTTGCCCCATCCAGCCTGACCTGGAAGGAGCACACAGCCCTTTACTTGGTGGTGGTGGTGGTGGTGTGTGTGTGTGCTGGCTTCCCAGGACCAGAGAAGTGAGTCATAGCCCAGAGGTGACTGGGAGGCATTACCTATAAGAACTGAGAGTTCCCAGTGTCCCTGCAGGAGATCAGAGAGAGGAAGGCAATGGAGTTTTCTTTCTTTTCTTCCTGAGGCCTGTATTGCTGTGATAGTCACACCTGAACAAATTCCTTCTGAGATCATCTCAGTCCCACACTTCCCTGGCCTCTTTTCTGGAGGGTATCACCTGTGGCCTGGCTCAGAGAGGGCGGACAGATTTTTTTCTGAGTCACACAGCAAGCCAACCATGGAGACAGGTGAGAGTCAAATGTTTGGGCCCTGAGGATCCAACCACTGGGCCTGGCATGTCTCGGATCCCCCTCATTGCTGTTTCTCTTTCCTTTGGATCTGTGCAGGTTCTGTCCTGCTCTGATAACCTAAAGCCTATATTTGTCTTGTTAGGCCCGCTGAGATAGGAGAGACCTTCAGAAGCTATCATCTGGGGAGATACTCAGGTAGCTCCTAGCTGAAGAAGGGACTTTGGAATCTCAAAAGGTGCGGGTTTAAATAGCAGCTTGACGCTTGACTTAACGCCAGTGAGTTAACTTCTTAGAGCCTCCGTTTTCTCATCTATTAGAAAGGGGACAATTGATCAGGTTGTAGTGAGGCTCAAATGAGCTCATAAAAAATGTATATACATTTTAAGAAAGGAAAAAAGTATTAAAATTTTAATACTCAATGAGATGAATACAAGTCACGTTTGACTTCTAATTACAAGAGGTGCTCAGAGAGCTTACCATCGGCATCCAGACACTTCTGATTACAGTGAACATCTCTTAAAATCCTGATATGAAAGGTATCCAGGACAATGCCCGGAAGTTGGCAAGTAGAGGCTCAATAGTCAAGAGCCATGTCACTCTGAGTCCTAAAATCCAAATCAAACTGCACCCACCCTTAAGGTGAGGAGTAATACTGTCCCAGGGTAGAGAAACTCTCCTCTGCAATCCAGGTCCACAAATTATAAGGCTATTTGGCTTGTGTGACCCAATTCATAGCCCTGTGTCCCCTGGGCCCCTGCGGACACCTCACCTTCTGCCCCAGGGCTGCTCAGCTCAAAGAAGCCTGGCCACCTGTGAGAACAGAGGCTCCCACCTCCCTGATGAGAAGCAAGTGCGTCACATGGAAGCAGCTCAACTGGTTGCTGAGTTGTGGAAAATAATTAAGCTGGGGGAGAAAAAACACATCTTCTAAAAATCAGGTTAGGTATGAATGTGCAGGGCGTGGCTTCCTCTGTAAGGAGCTGCTCTGCTGGCTGTTGGAACCGCCTGCTTCTCCCTGGCCCGTTGTGTCAGGCTTGTGTCTGCTACTCCTCCCCTCCACGCCTCCTCCTCTTCGTTCTCCTCCTCCTCCTCCTCACAGGTGTGTCCCTGGGCCTTGAGGCTGCCTGCCCCACTCCCTGTGGAGACGCCCGCCAGAAAGGTCACGCACCCTGAGCCCCAGCAAGCCCCAAACAGACCAGCCAAGTGACCTGCTATGGACGCCACAGACGCCTCCAGGAGCAATGGGTCAAGCCCAGAGGCCAGGGATGCCCGTAGCCCCTCGGGCCCCAATGGCACCCTGGAGAATGGCACCAAGGTCGACGGCAAGGACACCAAGACCAACGGGCACAGCGGGGAGGCCACCGAGGGCAAGAACCTGGGCGGCGCCCTGAAATCAGGGGAGGGAAAGAGCGCCCTGTTCTCGGGCAATGAGTGGCGGCGGCCCATCATCCAGTTTGTTGAGTCTGTGGATGACAAGAGCTCCAACTACTTCAGCATGGACTCTGCAGAAGGCAAGAGGTCCCCGTATGCAGGCCTCCACCTGGGGGCCTCCAAGAAGCCGCCCGTCACCTTTGCTGAGAAGGGAGAGCTGCGCAAGTCTATCTTCTCGGAGCCCCGGAAGCCCACGGTGACCATTGTGGAGCCTGGGGAGGGCCGGCGAAATAGCTACCCCCGGGGAGACGCGGGCCTCTTCTCGAGGTCCAAGCCAGGCTCCGAGGAGGTGCTGTGCGACTCCTGCATCGGCAACAAGCAGAAGGCGGTCAAGTCCTGCCTGGTGTGCCAGGCCTCCTTCTGCGAGCTGCACCTCAAACCCCACCTGGAGGGCGCTGCCTTCCGTGACCACCAGCTGCTGGAGCCCATCCGGGACTTCGAGGCCCGCAAGTGCCCCCTGCACGGCAAGACCATGGAGCTCTTCTGCCAGACCGACCAGACCTGCATCTGTTACCTCTGCATGTTCCAGGAGCACAAGAACCACAGCACCGTGACGGTGGAGGAGGCCAAGGCTGAGAAGGAGGTACTTTGCTGGGGTTCCTCGCTGCTCCCCTGAGGCCTTTCCTCCCTCAACCTGCCCCTCTGACCTTGACCTTCTTGATGGGGGCTTGCCAGTGTTTGGGCTTAAGTCTCTGCTGTCCTTGGCTTTTTTGGAAAACACTTTTTCTCTTCCATACCCACTTCCCCACCCCACCCCAAGCTGGGGGTCAGACATGGTTCCTCAACCTCCTAAGGTCTCAGGAGACAGAGGTATATTCCAGATGAACAAATCTCAGAAACCACTGGGGGCTTGATCGAGGTCATAGGATAAATTCACGTCTGCTCAGAGAATAAGATCCAATGGTTTGGAGCTCACTCCTGGGCTTTGTGCCTGGCTGGGATGTTTCTTAATTTTGGAGAGTATTTCTTCTGTGTAAGCAAGACTGGCCCCTGGGGTGTGGATGGTGGGTAAGGGAAGGTACTAGAAGAAGGGAATTTTGGGGGCCACTGAAGTATCCTTTTTGCCGGCTTTGCAGTTTTCATTTGTGGTAGAGCAGCTGCTCGTTCTGATTCCTTTGCCGGTCTCTTGGTTTCCCTCATAGCCTCCTTTGTCCTTTCCTCAGCTGGACCCTAGTGCTGTGTGTATGGTTGCATGTGGACCTGCCTGTGGCTGTTGTTGGTGGACGTTGGGTGTGTGTGGATGGGGTACACAGATACAGACAGCCCCCAACTGACAATGCTTAAGCTGTGCAAAAACTTCCAGTAAGGTACAGCATTCAGTAAGTTACAGGAGCTCTCCCACATTTTATTATTATATGAAGTAGTAGATGACTTTGCCAAACTACAGGCTAACTTAAGTATTCTGAGCATGTATAAGGGAGGCTAAGCCAAGCTATGATGTTTGGGAGGCGAGGTGTGTTAAAGGCATTTTATTTTTTTATTTTAAAGATGTGGGGTACAATTCAGGGCTACGTATGCAAATGTTCATTATGCAGGTACCCTTGTTGATGAGGTGTGCCCCTCCCTCCCCTGGCAGTTTCCCTCAATTGCCAATCTCACCCCCCCAAAGGCATTTTTGACCAATGATAGTTTCATCTTTTGTTGGGCTTACCGGGAAGTAACCCATCATCAGTTGAGAAGCATCTGTATATGTGTGTGTGTTATGTGCATGTGGGTGTTTGTGTGTGTTTGTGGGTGTCTGCCCATATTTGTGTGGGTGGTACGTGTGTTCCATGAGTTCCATGCATGTGATTACGCCTGTACTTCCACGGTGAGGAGCAGCGGTGAGCGTAGGTTTGTGAATGAAGCACACCTGGGGAAGGGTATTTGGGCTGAGGGTCCACCTGTGGCTGTTGCCCTCGCCCTCTAGAAGCCCACTCGCCCCCTAGAAGCCCGCTCGCCCCCTGTAGCAAGCAACATGGCTCCCTGTTGTGGTGGCCTCCCTGGGGTGAGCCTTCCTGGTCGCCAATGCAAGGGATTCGACTTTCCCCAAGAGCTTCTGCACCCCTCAGATTGGGGCAGCCTAGGATTCCCCTCACCCAGCCTTCCTGACTGGGAGCTTATGAGTTACTCTCTCCCTGCACCTCTCACCCACACCCCTGGGCAGGAGGGACGAGATGGGAACACGCTCACAGATTCTTTCCAGAAGGCTCATTCAGCCCAGTAAGAAGGTGCTCCCAGCTTCCCCATCCTCTGACTCCAGCCTGCCACAAGCTTCATCCTGGGAGATAGAGATGGGGGAGGGGCCATGAAACCCATTCTCGGGGTTTGGACCCACATTTTATCTGAAACAGAGGTATCTCCACTTCAGAAAAACCTGAGTGCCCCTGGAAGAGGCTGTTCTGGCGGGCGGGAGGGTCTTGGGCAGCCCTGACTGGAGGTGCCAGGAGCTCAGAGTTCTGGTACGGGGGTCACTGTAGGACTCACAGACACAGTCCTTGTCCTTGAGTGCTCATGATATAGGTCAGGAGGCAGAGCCCAGATGCACAAACAAGACTGGAGAGCACCCGCCCATCTATGCAGAAGCAGCTGTAAGTAAACATCGAATCATAGAGAACAGACGGCCAGGCTGTGGAGGATTAGCAGTCACCTCTGTTGCCACCTTGCAGGTGGGGACACAGACCCAGGGAAAGGAAGAGCCCTGTCCAAGGTCCTTGTTTGAGGAAGAAGCCCCCTAAGTCACTTCCAATGTTTTGAGAGTGCCTCAGGGAAAGGACCCAGGGGATGGGGTTCAGGATGTGTGTGCTTTAGCAGAAAATGCCTGATCCACTGGCAAGGTGGTAGGCGCTTCCAGCAGTCTGTGTGTGCACATGTGTGTGCATCTGTGGCCTAGAAATTGGCAGGGAGGAGTGGGGCCAAGCCACCAGGAGCCTGAATTGGGGCAGGACAGTCTGTCTAGGCCAGGCTCTGCTGGAATGCCAGACGTGGGGGACATTGGTACAGAACAGGGTTAGTGGATTGATGGGCCAGAGCAAACCAGCATCCTAGCTTCCTTTGCAGGCATCTCCTGCAGACCCAGACATCAGCCCACACAGCTGTTTGCAAGGAGCCCCGTGCAGAACCAGTTCTGCAGGCCTGCTGGTGAAGGCCTGGGTGAGGTCATGTCAGTTCTGTCTCGTTGGTTGCATGTAGCTGTGGATGACACTAATGGCTGTGGGTGTTGAGCTTCTGGACCTCGGCTCTACCTACAGACTCTGAGAAGAGTCCATGTTAGAAAATGGTGTGGTGACACGACAATCCCTTCCTCTGGTGGTTTTAGGTCAGGATGTTCCCATTCTACCCCAAATGTCACAAGGGATCCTGTACATGTCCTCCCACCCACCCCCCTGGCTCTGGACATTTATCAGGCTAGGTGAGGTGGGTGAAATGAAAATGGACATATGCATCTCATTTGGTGCAGGAAGAAGGTGTTCCCAGCTTTCTCCATCCTCTGACCCCAGCCTGCCTCAAGTTTTATCCTGGGGGATAGAGATGGGGCAGGGGCCATTTAATTTGAAACAAAGGTATCTCCACTTCAGAAAAACATGAGTGCCCCTGGAAGAGGTCATTCTGGTGGGCATGAGGGTCTTAGGCAGTCCCATCTGGAGGTGCCAGGAGCTCATTCACATTCTGGTACAAGGCTCATTACCCTTCCTTCTGCCTATCCCAAGTCCCTTCCTGCTACAACAGGCTAGGATATGAAAACCTCCCAGGTGGACTACTCTTGGGTGACCCTGTCCTGTCGTGGGTCTGGCCTGGCTCTGGGGAGACAGCCTGACGAGGCATGTGCAGGGGACAATCAGCAGCGAGTGTTGTTTGGAGGACTCAGCCTCAGCGCCTCCTCCACCCTCATTTGGCTGAGATCATTTCTGCCACCACACTCCCAGCTTCATTTCTGGTCTTGGTGCCCAATGCTTTCCTGAAGGCTGAGCCACAAGGTTGCTGGGCATGGGCAAGCACTGGTCCTTGAGTGTCTGAGCTGTGCTGGTCTGAGCAGAGAAGCTCTTTGGGCAGACAGCCGCACCTGGGATTCGGGAAGAGGAGCCAGGCTAAAGGCCTGTGTGCCCTGGAGGGGCTGGGACCACTTTCCCTGGAGACCTTGGGGGAAAACACTTGCTCTGGGGCAGAATGGGTGAGAAAGGAGGTAGATGACTTTGCTGGGGGTTGAGGGGGAAACAACAAATAAAAGAGGTTTGGAGCCTGGAAGTAGGGAAGGAAAGCAATAGGCAGGCAACAGCCGTCTCTATGGAGCACACCTGTGAGCCAGGTACTGGGCCTGGCCTGTGTGTGGTTCTTCCTGATAGCAGTCCTATGGGGTGAGGGTTATTGCACATATTTCGTAGATGAAGAAACAGGCTCAGAGATGCCAAGAGACTTACTTAAGTCATAGCACTCAAGAGTGGCAGAGCTGGGGTTCCTCTATGTTAAACCTTTGTGTTCCCATAGGATTAAAAGGGTGTCCTTGGGATCACCGAGCTCAGTGGCTCCCAGATAGCAGTCCTCAGATCAGAATCACCCGGTGCATTGCTGAAATACAGATTCCCAGGCCTTAGCCTGGAGAGTCCTGATTCAAGGGACCTGAGTCTGAGGTCTGTATTTTTAAGAGTCTTCCTTGGGGATTCTAATACGTAGACGGTTGGGAACCAGAAATCGAATCCAGTTTCACCATAAGGAAACCAAGACCCAGGAAGCTGAGGTGACTTCCTTGATGGCCCACCACTGGTCTGGAGACGCCCAGCCAGGGCGATGCCTCTCTCACCCCATCTTGCCCCTCCCCTGGCCCAGGGCTCTGAGGAAGCAAAGGAACAGTAAGCTCCAGTCAGGCAGACTAACAGATACTGGGTTGTTTGACATCTGAGTGGAAAAGAGGAAATCTATCCAGCATTTCAGATTCTTATCCAGATAATTACCATTTGTCTGAGAGTACAAATTTGGCAATTATCTGGCTCATTTGGCAAATGTCACAGCCAAAGGCCTATGTGGTTAATTTAGGCCAGGGGAAGATCATGGCGATCTCCCCTTCCCTGGGGGCAGTGCAGGTATACCTGTGCAAGTGAGCTCAGGTGTTTCTGTACCTGAAGGCCCCGTATAGGCCAAGGCACTGCCACTGCTGTGCCTTCCGTCTGCTCTCAGGGACACCTCTGCTCACCCAAGGCTGAGGATTTCAAGGCTGGGTGGCCCCTTCAGGGCCGTCCCAGGCATCAGAGAGCAAGAGGCGACCAGACGAGTGTGGGAGAAGGGAACAAAGAAAGCATTCAGGGACAGGCCTGGGCAGGGTAAAGGGAATGAAGTGGGAGTAGGAGGAAGTCAGGAGGGAGGTGTGGGTAGGGGTGGAGCTGTGGGGAGCTGAGGCCCTGTCAGACATTAGGGGCTTCAACCACATTTCAAGAGAGGGGAGAGAGGGAAGGAGGGAACTGGGGCCTCAGGAGTGATTGCAGGGTGGTAATGGGAGGAAAAGAGGGCAGTAGGGCAGAGGCAGGATTATCAAACTGCACCATCTGTGAGGTGGGGGCATCTGGGTGGGCTTAGGTTAGCAGGGACAGAGGGGAAGGACAATGTCACAGAAGGTACAGGAGAGCCAAGGGCCACCGCCTGTAGACATGCCTCTAAAGCCACATCGTAGGATTCTGTCATTGTATCTTGGCCTTACTGCTTTCTAGCCATGAGCACTCAGGCGAACTCTGTGATCACTTTAGGCCTTCTTTGTTTTTTTGAAACAGTGTCTCACTCTGTTGCCCAGGTTAGAGGGCAGTGGCATGATCATTGCTTACCACAGCCCCGAGCAGCTGGGACTACAGGCATGTGGCACCGTGCCTGGCTAATTTTCTTTAATTTTTTTTGTAGAGATGAGGTTTTGCTATGGTGCCCAGGTTGGTCTCAAATTCCTGGGCTCAAGCAATTCTCCCACCTCAGCCTCCCCAAGTGTTGGGATTATAGGCAAGAGCCACTGCGGCCCAGCCTAGGCTTTGGTTTTCACATTTGGAAAATGGGGATAATGCCACTTACCTCCACAGGAAGCCTTTACAGAGTGGAGGAGAAAATTCCTGGCACACAGTAGATGCTCAGTAATCATAAAGTTACTTTCCTTCCCTCTCTTAGTGTTGGTGGAGAACCCAACATCTCTGAAACCTTCCTGTGTTCTGTTACTTCCTGTTTAGTGAAAACTGCCCAGAATGAACAGATACTAAGTGCATCCCTAGAGGTCTCACTGCAAATGCTCCTCCCTTGACATGGTAGGACTTATCCCAGACGTCAGGACTCTCCCAGAGGTGAGAAAGGACCCTTCTAGCAGCACAGAGCTCTCAGTTCAAGGTCCCTTCTGAGAGTTCATTGTGTCCTGCGAGTCTAGTCTTGTAAGGCAGTGGAAGCAAGGTCCCTCCCAGCCTTGTACAACTTCCTTAGTGCCCCAAGGAAACAGGAGGACTAGTCTCTCCCCCACCCTGACAGATTCTTCTGCCCACTGCTCTAGATAGCTCGTCTCCCCATCTGACCCTGCCCTTACAGGCTTCCAGATCCCCCTCTTACACCACTGGCCCTCGCTTCCACACCTTGGCTAGCTCCACTGCATTCTTCCTTTGCTCAGGATAGACTCCCTGGGGATAGCCTCTCTCTGCCTTTGGCCTAGACACATTGTTCTAAGCTCCACTGGATTCTCCATCCCTGTATTCCATACCTCCTTCTTTCCTCTTGGTCAGCGAATCCATGCCCTCCTGGGGAGACCTGTCTGCCCCCACAGCCCCGACCACAGCTCCTAGCGGGTCTCCCTGTGCACTTGTCTTCACTGCAGGCATTCGACTCCTTGGTCTTCCCCTTCTCTGGTCAAGCCTACTCCCACCTGCAGGTGGTGAGCCCACCCTCGTCCTCTTTTGCCTTCCTCCATTCTGTTTTTCCCAGCACCCCCCAGCCTACAATCATCCATAAGCTAAGCTTCGATCTTGCATCTTCAGCCTCGTGTCTTGGCCTCCCTAGCCTATCTATGTACTCCTCACTCCGTACCTGGGAAGTGTACACACTATATTTGGATCCCAATCCAATGATACACCATCCTCATCCCTACACATGGCCAAGACCTCACCCCATCATACCTGTCCACTCCCCTCTCTTGCCTATGCCTGGCTGACCAGCCCCACCATGCTGCTCTCACTCCTCCAAGCACTTGGCATGGCACCTGGTCCATGGAGGGTGCCCACGCAGCAGTGACAATGGTAACCACTATTCTATCTGTGCTTACTGGGTGCCAAGTCCTTTCTCAGAGCTTTACTCCTGAATCCCAGTCGGTCCCACAACCTCCCTGGGAGCTGGATCCTCTTACTGCCTTCATAGAACAGATGGAGCTAATGAGACACGATAACTTAAGAAACTTTCAAAGGTTATCTGCTTGGAGGTGGTGGTCACCAGGTTCAAACCATTGGTTTCTCATCTTGTGTCTCAGTTGAGTTCCCTCTGGACCCCTCATGCTCAGTTCATGGAAGGATTGCCCTTCCCTCGTTGACATCAGTACTTTTACCGGGGTTGGGCTCCAAGGGTGAGAAGGAGTATGCTTCTGTTCTCTGCTTTCCTTCCCATCAGACCTTGTTCTGGAATTAGTGAGGTGGGGGTGAGAAACATCGGTGCCAACTTTTCCATTGCTGTGCTGGGCCAGGAAGTCTCGGCTGCAGTGGGTGTGAGGCTCCCAGCTGTCCCATTGACCTCAGGCCTCTCTCAGAAGTTCTCCATGGATGTGAAATGTGCCCAGGACAGACCCACTGTCCAGCCTCTTGGTCTCTTCTTCACAGCTCACATATGCTTCCTCAGAAGCCTTCAGGGTCACTGCGTCTGCCAACCTGTGCTTTTTGGGCTCTTGGGCTCTGTGTCCTTGGAGACCATGAAGGCTGAGTTTTGGCTCCCTGCAGTGAGTCTTCCTTTCTTTACTTTCCACTGTCCCACCACCTTATTTGGTGGTTGCTGGTCTCTCCCCAGCCTTTTTCCAGAGACTAGTGCAGATTCCCATCATCATCTTATAGTCCTTTCCTCTGGACAACACTTTTTCATCTCTGGTGACACATTTTTCATGCTATGGGATTTCTAACCCATTGCTGGTGGGTGGATGCTTACTGAGAACAATTTCAAGCCTTGTTGCCTGGAAAGTCCAGGAGTGTGGTGATGGGAGGATGGATAGGCCTGTCTGGGGAGCTCTGTGGCTCCTGTCCTCCTGTCCCTTGTTTCTCTCACCCTCTGGGCACCTTTTCTAAAAAGTCAGGAAAGCTCTGTCTATCATTGGATCTACTTCTCTGGGTGTCTGCAGCAGGTATCCCCATTGACTCCCCTGGTGAGGCATTCCGAAGGTGTGCCATGTGGTAACACACTGTGCCCAGGCGCTCCAGACTTCTGGCCGATGGAGCTGACCGTCCTAGTAGTTTATGGTTTCCTCACCTTGATCATCTTTTTGAGTTCTCTCAAGCTGGAGAGAGGAGTGGGACTTTACATTCAAAACCCAGCAGTCACAGGGAGATCTTGGACAGTCCAGGACTCTCTTGGATGCCTAGGTCTTCCGGCTGGTCAGGCAGTGATCACCCACCTATTTACCAAGTTGGAAAGGCTTTGAGACTCTAAGGGGGAGCCCAGCAGAACAAAAGAGGTGCCTCTTGCCTTAGCAGGAGGAAATGGGTCTTTGCTTCCTGTCTCCTTTTTGGTCTTTGTTGCAACTGTTTTCAGAGAAGGGCACTTCCCCAGATGGAAGGCAAGTTTGGATGTGAGAGCTAATGCCCCAGCACATTCCTGCTAAGCCTCTTCCCAACCCACCCCAGACCCCAGTGGTCTGTGTCCTCCCTCTGAGCAATGGTCCTAGAACCATTCCTTTTCAACCTTCTCTACCCTTTACAGCCTCCCTCTCTGGTCTCTCCTTCCCTAGAGACCCTGGGTAAAAGCCTCTATCTTGCCCAAACTACAGAATGTGTTCCCTTTCCCATAAATAGGTTTATAACCATGCCTGCCCAGACGGAGTCCATGCCGGCGGCAACCCTGGCTGCTGCTTGCAACACAGGCCCCGCGTCATGCCATAGAAACGTTGCATACTGTTACTGCCATGAGACACTCCCTGGTCTTGGCTTGGGCTAAGCTGGGCTGAGCTGGGCTGGGTCCCTCTCTTTTCTCTTCTCAATGGCGCCAAGTCCACTGAAAGGAGCAAGAACACTATACCTGAGCTTCCCGCCTGGGTATGCTGGGTGGAGGAGCCAGGAAAAGGTGTAGCCCTTATAAAGACATGGCTGGGATGTCCAGGCCTAATGACCTGAGAACACAGTGAGAGGGTGTTTGACTCACTGCTGGATCCATGGTGACTGGCATGGTGCCTGGCGTATCCAAGGTCTCGATGAATGTCTGCTGAGTAAAAGGCTGAATGGATGTGTGATGAGCCCTGGTCGAAGGCTTGCTCCCTGGGTGGACCCACTCCCTGGTTTTCTGGTTCGCCTCACCTCCTCCCTCTGACTTCTCCAATCTGGCTCTTTCCCTGCAGACGGAGCTGTCACTGCAGAAAGAGCAACTACAGCTCAAGATCATTGAGATTGAAGATGAGGCTGAGAAGTGGCAGAAGGAGAAGGATCGCATCAAAGTGAGCAGCCCCTGGACTGCCCTTGTGTACCCTGGCACCCCACTCCACCTGTCCTGCTGGCGAGGCAGGTCCTGTCTGCTGCTCAGGCATCAGGCCCACATCAGCATCTCATGCATGTTTCTTCCACTTCTCCCACACTCTTTGGTGTTTCCACCCACTCCCCTTCTCAATCTAGGCCAGGCGCCCAGGTGGGACCTCACCTGTCACCTAATGCTCATTTTATATCATCTCAGCAAATAAAGACCCCAGACCTGCCCTCCTATGTGTCTTCCAATGTCTTCTCTGCTCACCAGACTACCCAGCCACCAAATACTTGGCATCTCTGCTCGTGCCTGTGTGGCTAAACGTAGGTGTGCCATGGTTTGGGTAATTGCAAATCTCAATCTGAAATTGCCTTTGGACTCTGGCTACATCAACAGTCAGCCAAGTTGCTTTCCAAATGATGTTTCGTCCTGGTTGGGGTCTCAGGGAGCATAACCTGACTCATGGGAGAACTTCTGGGCCCTCAGGAAGTCACTCAGGCATGAAATGATGCCTCGTATCAACTCCCCAAGGGGAAAGAGCTGTAGGTGAATAAGAAAGGGTATGCTGTACAAAAAAAAACTGGCCATCTCATCAGAAGGTGGCATCCTTCAGTGATACCTTTGAATGAGATTCTTGGCCAAACAGGCTTGCCAGGTTGGGGCTATGGAATGCCCCAGTTCTTTATTAGGGGTACCCGAAGATGCAGCCCACTAGGGAGGTTTTTTTTTTTTTTTTTTTTCCTTACTGAAACCCTCCTACCTTCCTCCTCCCCAAATCTGAACCCAGAGCTTCACCACCAATGAGAAGGCCATCCTGGAGCAGAACTTCCGGGACCTAATGAGGGACCTGGAGAAGCAAAAGGAGGAAGTGAGGGCTGCGCTGGAGCAGCGGGAGCAGGATGCTGTGAACCAAGTGAAGGTGATCGTGGATGCTCTGGACGAGAGAGCCAAGCTGTTGCACGAGGACAAGCAGACCCGGGAGCAGCTGCACAGCATCAGTGACTCAGTGCTCTTTCTGCAGGTAACAAGCAGCTCCTCCACCATCCAGGCCCTCAGTCCCCAGTCCATTTTCCCTGACCCTCATCCATCATTCATTCATCCACCTGTCTGCCTTTCCATCTATCCATTTATCATCCATCCAGCCATTCATCTATCTATCCGCCCATCCATCCATCATCTATCCATCTGCCTATTCACCTATCCATCTATCTGTGTATCATCCATCCATCCAGCTTCATTCCATCTGTCCCTTTAGCTTTCCATCCAATCCATGTATCTACCTACTCTCACAATGGCACCCAACCATCACCTTGTATCAACTCCAATGGATATATACTTGCAGTGCTCCTGACTCAGTAGGAAAGAGTTCTGTGATTGATTAATGATGCCTGCTGTGGGCATAGGGAGAGTGGCATATGAGTGCTGCACATTTGTTATCTTTTATCTAGTATGCATGTTTATCCATCCATCCGTCCATCTGCTAGAGTGTTTTGGGTACTACTGCAAGCCCAGTACTCTAGGTGCTGTGGTGAATAGAGAAGTATAAGACATGGTTTCTGCCCCCAAGCAACTGCAATCCAGCTGGGAAGATAAGACATGTACAATTAGAGAACAATACAGGAAAAGTGTATAATTAAATGATACAACATATGGCTCGGGAGATAAGTGCCTATGGAGGTCCAGAGAAGGGTAGGCAGGCGGAAGGAGCTCAAGACAGCTTTGTAAAGGAGGCGGAGCTTCAACTGGGGCTTGAAGGTGGGCCAGGATTTTAGAAGGAGGAAGGATTCTCCAGGGATTCTCAAGTGCCACCACAACTGACTCAGAACTCTCTAGCAATTCCCCGCATTTCTTTAGGACTTTCACTCCCCAAGTCTTTGCTGCTTGTGTCCCTTCATAAACTCCTATGCAGTAGACATGATGCACTCCGTATAGAGGTGGGAATTGTGGAGTCCCATATCTGAGTGCCCATGCCATCGGGGATGTTGGTATTAAGTGGGCTTTTGTTGACCCTCTTCACTTTACAGAAGAAGAGTCTAATGTTCAGTGAGTAAACGTGAGGCTGGTTCATAGCAGAGCTGGAACTAGAGCCCAGCTCCCCTGGCTCTCCGTGCTGAGACATCCCGCTGCACTGAAAGCCCCTTACCCAGAAGGGTCCCCAAGGCTCGTAAAGACCCAGGAAGCTAATGGCTTCTTTCCTTTCTTGGTAGGAATTTGGTGCACTGATGAGCAGTTACTCTCTGCCCCCGCCTCTGCCCACCTATCATGTCCTGCTGGAGGGGGAGGGCCTGGGACAGTCGCTGGGCAACTTCAAGGATGACCTGCTCAATGTGTGCATGCGCCATGTTGAAAAGATGTGCAAGGCCGACCTGAGCCGTAACTTCATCGAGAGGAACCACATGGAGAATGGTAGGCACCCTCGTGGCCGAGCCCCAAGGCTGTGAACATTTCTCTCCCAGGGCAACCTGCTGCCCGGTGTAGGCTGGCAGCCAGCCTTCTGGCCCCACCTAAGGGTGTTTAGACTAGGATTCAGGGATTCTAACCCCTCATTGAACTTGCTGCAAAAGTTATACAGCTATTACAGGGGGCTTCCAGAGCAGGAAGCATCCTAGGCACTAGCTACACAAGGGCCTTCTCTCTGTGGGCTGTCCATCAAACTCAGGGATTGCTTTCATTCAGATCTACATCTGTTTTTTGGGCTCAGCCCAGCAGCTGTGTGGATGCTGCCGCTTATTTGGGCCAGACTCCAGACTGGTGGCTTTGCAGATTCCAGCAGGTGTGACCTAGAACTGCAGCCACGCTTGGAGGAAGAACTTGCCTGCCACCAGTGCTGAGCCGTGGTGAGCAGTGTTGAGCCCAGAGGCTGAACTTGGCCTGGAAGACTAGACTGGGGATGGTGGGACACAGCATCTCTGTGACTCACCAGCTCCCCTGAAATCAACTTTTCTTCTGAGTCATGCTGTCCCTGCAGAGGTCAACTGAATTGTCTCACAGAAAGCCTTGGAACCTGAGAAACTACCTTGTTGAGTCCTTTACGCCCAGTCCCCTTAGGGCCTGAAGCCTGGGCACTTTCCCCAAGGCCCCACCCAGTGACCCAGGTGTGGTGATCCAGGTGCAGTGACCCAGACAGTGCATGGGGCCTTGCAAATGTAGTCTTTTTAATGACTTCTAGCCATAAACACCCCAAAGGAAATGACCCCTGTCTGGTCTCCAGATGGAGCACATGATTCTTTGTGGGAGGAGAGGGAAGTAAGAGTGTGGAGAAGGGCCAGGGTCTGGGGGAGTCATCTGTGTACTTTGGTGATGGTGACGTCACACAGTGTCCCTGTGAAATGTGGGAGACATTCATTCACACCCAAGGACAGATGAGCCATTTCAGTAAGATAATCATTTGGCTTCAAACAGCACTCAGACCCTGAAATGCTCCTTCTAATGACAATAGCGGTGATACTAATGGTGACGGTGACGGCTGACAGTAATTGAGTCCTCCCTAGGTGCTGGGCATTGTGTGAAGCTTTTCACCTATATTACCTCATTTTCTCTGTGGGGTGTATTGCATTTTACCCATGACACGGCTGAGGTTCAGAGGAGCATCCTTTAAATGGGTGCATAGCTTGGTAGGGGGCATGGTGGGCTTCATACTCTGCTATTCCGTCACCCATGTCTTCTCATCTGAGACGCTGCTCTTGCTGGTGGCTGCAACAGTGCGGTTGAGGGGTGTGATCATCACGGTCCCTGGGCTGCAGACTCAGCGGGGGGAGCCCCTCACGTGAGGTCTGGCCAGACCCAGGAGGATAGCCCCGGGAGGAAGTGAGGCCTGTGAACCTTGCAGGAACCGTTTAGCCTTCCGGCCACTCACTGTCCCATTTCTGGGTCACGATAGTGCTGGCCATGGCCTCTGTGTAGGTGTGGCCCTGTGTTCTATACAAGGTGTGCAGCGAAGTGGCAGCCAGGAGCAGGGATGGGCTCTGCTGATTCAGTGGCCCGCACCTGTGCCCCGGGCCCCTGGGGAGGCATCTTTGCCTCTGTGTTGTTTTTGTCTGGCTGCGGCATGGTTGTTGGGAGTATGTCTGTTGTAGGAGGCGGGGGATGGGTAGCTGGTGAGTCAGACCTTAGAGTGACCATCCACCCCTCCCTGACGCCAGTCTACCCACCAACCAGGGACCCATTCCCACCCTCAAGGGCCCAGGGGGGAAGAGGCACAAGGCAACTTCATCCTGGGCTCAGTGGAGCAGAGGGCTGGGCTAACACTAGGAGGACATTGATTTATGCTGTGAGTTTCCACTGTGTGTCAGGACCTTGCTGAGCACAAGTGATTTGAAGATAAGGATGAGGGTTTGAGCCACTTACTCCTCCTCTTGTCTGAGTTAGAGGGAGAGGGAAGGACAGAGAAAGTAGAAGGTGGGGAAGTCATAAGAGAAGGGAATGAGGTGGAGGGTGGCTGTGGGAAGTCCAGCACTGAACGGCATGTCTGTTTGGGTTTGGGGTCTGCAGGTGGGCACTCCCATGACAACTCAGCTACCTGGATCCCTGAGCCAGGGAGCCCAACACTGGGACCCCACCCCTCCACCTTAGGCTGCCCTCAGTGGGTTGAATTGAGGTTAAGAGTAGGGGACCAGGGCTCAGACCTCAACTCTGCCCTTACTGGCAAGTGTCATTGAGCAAGTTGCTTCTCTTATCTCCTGAACCTCAGTCTCCTTATCTGTCTCGGGGGATGTTCATACCTGCCTAAGAGTCAATGTCAGGCTGAGCCGGGCTCGGTGGCTCAGCCTGTAATCCTATGCTTTGGGAGGCCGAGGTGAGTGGATTGCCTGAGCCTGCGGGTTCAAGACCCGCCTGG